CTTCAAGCCTAGATAAAACAATTTTAAAAAGTCGTGTACTGTTTTTTTTTAAACTTATTAGCGTATAAATATTTTACTCAACTGGCTGCTACATTTTATCATTTCTCTAATCTAATTTTTTGAGACCCGTTCTTCTTGCCAGTATTAGGGTAAGTTTTTTAAACTTTTGGCAAGTTTAAAACAGAACGAGGGTACGAAACAGCAGAGGTCATATCGTGTGCCTCGGTGTGCCGGTGGTTTGAAAAAAACCCCATTTGTAAGTGTGTCGGGTTCGAATTCATGGTCGCTGGATTCGAACCCGAGCATTCAGCTTACAGTGATGAACGCCGTATCAACGCCTAAACTTTTGCGGCCACGGAGGCCCCGTTTTTCTAGTTAAAATTAATATTTTATGAATATTATTAATATTTTTTTGTTAGTTAAGAAAAATTTTTTTTGGGGCAGGGGTTGTAAATGATTGGGATTTGGGGGTTGGGCCGTATGGTCCATTAAAAGTAACTAGTGTGAAAGTTTCGCCAGATACTTAATCGCAATAGTTAATTTGGATGCTCTGAGTACGTGTTTAGTTGGAAACTGCTACATTTTATCATTTCTCTTCTCATTTTTTAATATAAAATTTTAGTAAGCAAAAAGAACGATATTTCAACACTCCGAATCGATCCATTACCTGCAATCTCAAGAAATACTATTAAAATAATATTCTAGGATTTCCAAACAGGACTGAAGACGTTCCTACATCTTCAACTCAAAGCTGGTTTCGCACTTCCTAACATTTTTCCAGTTTTAGGTAAAACGCAACTAACTCTGACACAGTTTTCGGCCGACGTTGTCCTAAGCCCTTAAAATACCCTTTATGGTATAAGCAGCTTTCAGAGTTGAGTGGGCTATTCGATGTAGGGGTAAGCGGCGATGGGCGGTCCTCTAATACTGCAGACCTAAACTCGGAGGCAAATTAAAGGAACGATCTGGTATACACTGAAAGGCTACTAAATACATATATGGACTAAGATAATAATAACAGAAATACTTACTTCGTTAACAGCTCCCCGTGACCACTTCATAAAACGTCAATGATCGAATCATGATTACACTATATTTGAAAATATGGAAAAAAAGAGGGAAAATTCGAAAGTTTGTAGGTTGAGATGAGGAGTAGGGTTCGGAATGGATTCAAGTCAGCTCAAATGATTAGAGCAGCGGCGTATTTGGCCGAAGGTTGTGGGTTCGAATTCCGCTCGTGCCCCGAACTTTTCCATCTCAACCAAAACTTAGATAAAAAGTAAAATTAATTTAAAGTATTATTAATGTACTTTTATTAGTAATTATTATTGCACACGGGTTTGTTCTACAATATTTTTCCATTTTCATTATTATATTAGTGTTTGCTTTTATCAAAGAAAGATATAAAAAGAGAAGAGAGTGAGAGCCCGGAAAAATAAAACAGTAGATGTAAAAAGAGAAAATAGAAAAAAGAAAGAGGGACAAGGAGAGAGACAGAAAGAGAAAAAGATAGAATGTGAGAGAGTAAGAGAGAAAGAAAAAGCGAGGCGTTTCTCTACAACCTCATATATTTAACTCGCTCAGTTCATTAGTTAAGGAAGAATTACCATTCTCGTGAAGGTTTAACTAAATTACAGCGCTATGTGGTGAGTGAAAACTCCTTTTCTTGACAAATGCTTTGGTGGAAACATAGTGAGTATAAAAAAGAGTAAACTAGTAAAGATATACAATTTACTCAAAAATGAATAGGTATATTGCCAATTTTATAATATATACTTTTGCAAGCATTTTTATTTTATTTTTATTGTGAATTGCATTAAAATTTAGTAGAACTTATTATGTTTTTTACTGAACGAAAACGTAATTAAGAGATTTTGATAAACAAAATAAAAGATTCTCTGTTGATAGGTTGAAAAATTCCAAGTTCTCCCTGGTTGAAAACCTTTATTCAATCAGTAAATTACATGGCCGCTTCGGGCTCCTGGCCCATCATCAGAAACTAAACGTAGAGAAATCTCATGGTATAATTCCCAACCTGAAGGCACACCCTTCATTAATTTCCATTTTTTTAATATATTTAAAACAAATACAAAAAAATTGGAAATTACTGATGGGTGTGCCTTCAGGTTGGGAATTATACAATGAGATTTCTCTATGTTAATTACTGATGATGGGCCAGAAGCCCGAAACGACCATGTAATTTATTAAATTGAATAAAGGTTTTCAACCACGGAGAAATTGGAATTTTTCAACTTATCAATAGAGAAGATATGAACCGTGGAGTTGGTAATATATAAAATAAAAGGCCTTAATTCCATAATTTTTTTTATTGGAAACAATAATGTTTTTAACAATTAATACCGTGTGTTAAGTTATCTGTTAGCTTCTGTGCACATGTTAGGCGTACTGTTAATAAGGTTTTCACTAGTATAGTCATAAGGAATTTCAATCCATAGGTGTTGCAACCCTGCAGTCAATGTTGCAGCTCAACTGGCTGCGGATGGTGAGCGAAAAGCCTTCTCTACAACGCACCCCAGATGTGCTTAATGGGATTGAGTTCTGGAGACAATAGGATAAGGGGAAGATGGGAAAATCCCAGTTTTCGAAACATAGATGAACAACTCTGCCTGTACGAAGTTTGGCATTGTCATACTTGAATCGAAAATCCCTGCCAATGAGATCCCTCGATGGAGGGATGTATTCCTCGATAATTTCTTGGACATAACGGACTGCGATGAGGTTGAACCAGTTCGTACTCCCGTGTAAATCCCAGCCCAAACCATTACACCGCCTCTTCCAAACTACACTGAAAGGAGCACGAAGTGGGGCATTGTATGCATCTCCCCGTCTCTCTTTGGCGCCTGCTACAACTATATAGACAGAAACGCGACTCATCAGTAAACATGACAGCATTCCAATTGGTGTTCCCTTCTAGCCGGTCGCTGCACCATGTTCTCCTGAGTTGCTGGTGGCGGACTGTTGCAGTAGGTCATCTAAAAGAGTTATATGATTTGAGGCCAAGTGTAGATGCCATGCGAAAACATATTCTACTATTTCTCTCCCTTAGCGTCGTAATGCACTGAGATCCACTACAAGGCCTCCTTTTGGTACTTTCTTCACTCGCTAAAGCCCGAGAGACCACGCTCTGAGAAACGCCAACTGCCTCTTCAATATCCACTCATTCTCACAATAATATTGTGAACTTCTGGTTCAAGATGATGCCTTTCCATGGTTAAAAAGAATACAACTAGATTAAAATGTAGAAAAAATTGATAATCTTCGTGTTAACTATCCCTAATCCGTTATTAAAAATTAGGTTTTTTGTCTTTGGTTTGTATTTTCTATTTTGTTTTATCCAACTAACAAGTATACATCGATTAATTTAATGAAAAATAATATAATAGGAATAAATTACAAATATCCTCTATATTTTTGCGACTATTCAACTATTCAATTAGTTTGTATTACTCCCTGTTATTATTATACCGTCAAGTACCACATTTATTTTTTTAAATAAAAACATACCTATGTATGCAGGAGATCCATATATTTCATCCATATGTTCCATTAAAAGTTATTATAGTTTAGGTATATATAGATAGGTATAATTTATAGCTGTAGAGTTTTTTTAAATAAAATAAAACATTTTTTTAAAGATTTCAACATTTTTTCTTTTGAGAACAGTGCTAAAATTAAATTTTATATACATTTTTTTTAATCAAACGTTATGTCTAAATTAAAAGAAAGGAATTTTTAATTTTTATAAAATTTAGACGAAAATAATTCAAATTTTCTTTTGATGCACTGGTTTTATTAATGTATTATAAAGAAACTACAGACTCCTTTGGAAAAATAAATGTACATTTAAAATTTTTTTTGTATTTAACCTACGAGAGTTTATATAATATATCGGTTAATTTAGTTTAAATTAATAGGATAAAAATAAATATACTTATTCAATTTGAGCAGTTTAATTAATACATGTATGATTTGGATATAATTGATTCTGGCTTACTTATTTTGTTTTTCCTGTTTTCCATATATTATTAAGTATTTAATTAATTTTACAAAATAATTAAAACATTCAAATTTATTACTATTATTTAAATAATAAACACGTTTTCTTTATTAAGATAATACATTTTAAAAAAGTAGAAACGTGTTACTTCAAGTACTTTAGTATTATGTGAAAGTACTATATTTTAGTATTATTGCAGCTACTGATGATTTATATTCGTTTAAGTGTATCTGCATGTGTTCGCTGATGTTTTGAAAGCTAATATATATATATNATATATATACAGTTAGTTCTATAGTTTTCATTGGGCAGATTTAATTTATTCCACAAGAATTGAAAGTGAGATGCATGAATGAATTCCAAAAGTTAATAGTTACATAAGTGCTTTTTCTTTTCGCTGATAGTAACAATGTTAATAATAATTTTGAATGATATGATCAACTTTTCAAATTAATTTACCTTAATACATCCTTACATTAAAAACACAATACTGTGTTTGTGCCGATCTTTTTTTCATATTCTCCGTCTATTATTCAGTACCTTTCCCGTATTTTTCTTTAATCCTGGTGTTCCCTTGAAAAACAATAAATGCACTAGCCTACAAGAGATCCCAGCCGATTTGGTGGATTGGCTCTAAATTGGAACTGACAAAAGTACTAAAAGTAAAGAAAGCAACACAATCGACATGTGAAGATTCAGTAAAGATGTCAACTGTGAAAAAGACATCATAAACTAAAGCTACACTTTTTAAATTTAAATAATTACAATTTATTTAAACTTCATCGAATACATACAAAATATAAACTATCAAGCTATTAAAATACGATGGGAAAATACAACCCAAACCTAACAATACTACGTCCAATTACATGTATCTTGTAATATCCATGTTTCTAAATAATTTTTTATTCTATTATAATATCTCTTTTATAATATCTTTTCAGCATTATTTACATATGTTTTCCTTAACAAAGATATCCACGTGGTTCGAGAGGGTAAGCATGATGGTCATCCTGCTCAATTGCGTCACTCTAGGAATGTACCAACCCTGCGTCGTCAAATGCGAATCGAACAGGTGTCAGATCCTCCAGGTAAGACAAATATTTTATTCCCATTCGATATAAGGGAGGGCAAATGGGGAAGAAAACCTCCTCGCTTCGTGTAGCAATTATAGAAATTCGAGTCCTTGCGTTACACCGCGCCGAGGGGTGGGTTCCTGAGTTAAGGAGCGCAGCTGCTACCGTATCTGCACGCTACCTGGGTTTAGTATCTCATTAACTATGAGGTACCCCAGCCACAAGCGAGAAAATCGTATTACATTTCCACGGCTTCACACTGAGAATGTTGGGTGGCTACCATTTCTTCAAATGGAACGTTATGGAAATACCGGAAAAGTTCACCATTACAGAGCCGCTTCGAACAATACACACCGTTACAGACGAATTTAATCGATACCTTATTGTTTTATACAGTCAATAATGGTTTTTCAGTCAATAAAGTAAGGCGAGTAGAGACTAAAATTTATACTCGAACTCCATTATACTTCTAAAGACTCGACTGTTGAGAATGGACTTGGTGGATACCAGCAAGAGAAAACCATTTAACAAACAATTCTAGCTCCAGATGTAATTAAAAGTAAAACTAAAAGTTAAACAAAGCAGTTGAACACAAAACACTTAAACCGATTAACAGAAAAAAAATCAATTTTATCCACCTTGTGTACATTTGGTGTTTAGTACAAAATTATCAAAATAAAATACAAGTACTACAAAAAAAGTTCTCTATTCAGAAAGGGTAATGAATTATTATTAAAAACAAACTATGCAATTCCAAGTTCAAAAAAAATTTCGAAACAAACAATCGATTATCATTGGGCATTTATCACATTGTTCAATAAGGACAATTATGTTTCCATTCACGACGTGTCATAATTTAGAATATTGAATCTTTTCGATTCCGACCAACACAAGGAAGTTTGAAAAGGGTGGGTGATACTCTGAAAAAAGTCAGCATTACATTGTTTTTGCCATCTGGGTCCCTCGCATTTTGAAAGGGTTTCATCACGAAATGCCCAGGGCTTTTTGTTAAAAAGCTTTTTCTGTTGTGTATTTCGATTAGTAAATAGGAAAGACCATAGACATACCTGCAACGGCTACATTCTTTGAAGTCTGTGTTTATCATTATGATCAGCATTACATTAGTGTATGTTTTGATAATTGATTCGTCGTCCTTTTTTTTAAGTATTATATGAAAAGCTTCAAAATTTACTTAATTATTGCGATTTCATTGTAAATTAAATTATTGTAAGCTCCAAAATTGTGAAAATCTAGAGGTTTTATTTCTGAAATTTGAAAATTTATGGTATCACAGGTCAATTGCAACATTTTATATTCCGAGTAATTTTAAACAGATTTTTTTTTCAAATTTTTATAATCTGGCTTAGCTAGCAACTTTAAGGCAGCTTTACAGTTCAAAAATAAAATTTCCACCAACATTTTCCAATCATCAGTTCAGAAAAAGTATTTTGCTTGCATTTATTTTGCATAACCGAATATCTCGTGTCATATATGTGTGACATTGCCAAAAAGTCATCGAAATCATCCAATTGTTTTCTTTCATTTGTCTTTCATGGAGCGATTTTTCTATTGGATTGCGGGTTTTGTCCCAAAAATAATGACTGCGTTGTCAACCGCATATGGCTAAATCTGAGTCAGGTTGGGATTATTCTGCGGTTAAGACCATTTGAGGCTCACCTATCGACCGTGCTCTTGACGCACAAGAGCTTTTCGGAATACCCAGTCAACTGACACTGCTGACATTTTCTTTTCCATATTCTTTTTATTATTATTAATAGTTATTCAGATATCGTGAGATGTGGTCGGGTGTGATGTGGGTTTCAGAAAAACATTTTCTTTATCGTGCCAACGTTTCGATCTTTATTGAGATCATCTTCAGGGCTAAAAGTGTTTGTCTTCTGTGTAATTGTGCTATTCTTGCCTGTCGTGAGCACTCTCAACACAACACGCAAGGATGGCACAAATACACAGAAGACAAACACTTTGAGCTCTGAAGATGATCTCAATAAAAGATCGAAACGTTGGCACGATAAAGAAAATGTTTTTCTGAAACCTACGTCACACCCGACCGCATCTCACGATATCTGAATAACTATCGATTAACGGTCACTAATCTCTACACATTATTATTAATTATTACTCCAAGTCAGCGAGTCGGATTGCAACTTTTGGACAAAATTACGACGAGTAGATCCACACGAGATTTAGTCTTTAGAGTCCACAAACCACTCAGGGAATCAGTGAGCACGATGTAGGATGAATCCTCCTAGTATTAAAAAACTCCAAGGACGAGACAGATGGCATCCAGCTCGGCGGTGAACACATTACAATACAAGCTAGGGTTAATGAAACAATGGCGAGGTGAAAATTAGAATTCCTTGATATAAGTTTGAGGAACTTAGAGGTTGGTGATGTAGTCAATGCTTTAACAACTCAGCAACAACTGTCCCTAGATGTAGTGTAATAAAAAATAATAGTTGTACAAAAATGACATCTGATTTAACACACAATAAATTTTTAATGAATGCATTAAGCATAGCTCTACAATTAAACTCAAGAACTATCATATCTTCAAATTTATTGTTTTTGTTCATAATTTATCAAAATCAGGACATATATCCTCTTAAGTATAATACAGACGTCAACTTTTTTATAATGTGGTAAATTTTCCAGTTTATTCAGGTAAATTTTCAAGTTAATGTCCTAACCTTCCATAACGATTTCATCATGTTACCTAAACAGCAATAATACGGGAGAAAAAAGTTAACTAGAAAATTTAGATCCTCGTCACATGGATGTCACCAATTGAACATTTTTTAAATTTCTTATTTTACTAACAGAAACATTTCTTTGCAGCTGTTCGATGACTTCATCTTCGCATTTTTCGCCCTAGAGATGTCAATTAAAATGATCGCTATGGGAGTGTACGGAAAGGGGACATACTTGGCAGACTCATGGAATCGGCTCGACTTTTTCATCGTGCTCGCTGGGTAAGTGAAATATATTTATTAAATTATTATTTGGAAGTCGTGAGATGCGGTCTGGTGTGACGTTGGTTTCAGAAAAACATTTTCTTTATCGTGCAAACGTTTCGATCTTTATTGAGATCATCTTCAGCGCTCAAAGTGTTCGTTTTCCGTGTAGACGTGTCATTCTTGTCTGTCGTGTTGAGAGTGCCGTATATTATTGTATTAAACATAGAATGAACTATGATAAATCCCTTCTGCGATGAAAACAGGGATTAAACGACTCTGGTTTAAACCATTAAACCTCTCAATAAATGGGACAGTTTTTTGTATTGCCTGATTGTGAGTGCCGTTTTTCTATACAGCAATTCGTGCAATTACAGTATATTACAGAGCCGACAATTGAAAGCATCTGGAGAAACGCTAGAACGAGAAAATGAAATAAAAGAAATGTAGTGTGCGTCGTTCAAGGGATTGATATGGTTCAGATATTCCGGAATTGATATCGCTTTCCTAAATAGGATGGAGATAAAATAAATAGACTACTAGCGTTCTACTCTTACAGTATTGATTTCTTATTGTCAGTATTGATCAAATCAAGACACAACTGTATCGGTCGGTTTAACAGGGTCAGGTTTATTATTCACACTGACTTGATTCAACCGAACCAGGCGAAGGGGTTTTACTGTTTTGCATCAGTTGACGGTGTAAAAAGTGCAACGTTTTATAAATGAAAACTTATCGTCGGCACTGATGACTTTGCCGGGACATTTAAAGGATGAAAAGGGCTTTCACCTGTTTTCTTTTTAACATTACTTAACTTCTTTTTAAACTTTCGCAATAACCAAGTAATTCTTGAAACACCTTAGAAAACTTTGGAACGAAAAGTGTAACTTAAATGCCCACTTCTTTAGAACACAGGAAGACCTTTTCGAAAATCTATACGTTAATTTTTTTTAAATTATGTTTTTACAGTGTAATTTTCTATTCTATTTGAAAACATAGTCTATAGTTATTGTTACGTATTTGAGCGAAGGAAATGTTCCTTCCCACTAAGGTTCCTTCACCTTACCCGCCATCCTGCCGCCATGTCTGAGGATTCTTTTTCTCCGGATATCCAATTATTGAATGGGGGCACAGAAATATATTTGCCACGTAATAATTAAAAGTAAAAAAATGAAAAATAGGCGACAATGAAAGTAAAGAACGCAGACGCATCAAAACATATAACAGAAAAATTCCATTTTTTAACTGTTCACCAAAATCACAGAATCGAAAGAAGGTTTTTTTTCTGGTGATAACCACCGGTAGAATTCCTCCTTGAACGGTGACTTCCACCACACAATGGCGTTAGTAGCGCGTTTTCCCTTTCCTGACCCCTCCGGAGGGATGGTAGCCAAGTACCTCGCCAGAATATTTGCGGACTTCCACCAGGGCAAAACGGGCTTTGATTGTGGCACTTGTTTTCCTTGGCCTTGCCAGCACAACACTGACCTCTCCCATCCTATCACCTCTTATCAGAGGAAGAAAATGCAGGATTATCTTCCTTGTCGCCTTATTATAATTTAAAATATTTTTATTTCGTTTATTTTGTTCCATAATTTTGAATTTCTGATTTCGATTCTGAATTTGAAGGTTTAAGTTGTAAATATATCAAAATTATCTAAATACAATAAAAATAATGTCTGTGTAGACCATATTTGTTCAAGTTTGAAAGTGGCACCATAGTTACCTTTTATAATTTGGGTAAACCAAATATCAAATTTGAAAAAATATGCATAATTTGGGAAACGTAATTACTTCACACTATTAAAACACTATTTTTATTGTCAAAATAATGAATTATTATGGAAAATCTATATAAAAAATAAGGAATTAGCAAAACATCATGGGGTAGGACACATTTTTAAAACATTTCTTTGGCTCGGTTATTTCCGTTCCGTGTTATTTTTTACTTGAGCCATGTAACATGAGGTTAGAAATATAAATTTATACATATAATAAAAAAGTGTTAATAACAACATAAACATAAAACAAAATACAAACTCATTGTTTTTCTTCATTTCACATTTTTTTATTACTGCTTAATTAGATTACCTTTTCTCTGAAAATATTGGGTTTCCACCTCTTTTCCTTCTAGATAATTTCATCGATTTCCGATACAATTTGACGCGTTCCGGTTTTTTTGTCTTTTGTTGAGGGCCTTACTTGAAACTAGAACCAACATATTCAACTTTCACACGTTTCGGACAAATGGACCTTATATATTTTTTAAGAATATATAATTATTTTATTTATTTTCAGATTACCGTTATTACCATATTAGCATGAACAAATTAAAATTGGTAAACAAATAAGGTATAAAAAAAGGAGACTCGCATTTATCTATTTGTTTATTTTTACACAATAACTTGGCAAAAATATTAATAGTATATTTAATTTTATACGTAACACATCATTAATACCTTTATAGAATGTTACTTACTAATTGGTTTATACTCTTTACATTAAAAATAAAGACAATCCGTATAATTTCATTCTATCCAGAGCGAATTTGTCGAGTGAGCTAAATTGGTTTTTTGAAATGGTTTTCTTTGATGAAACAATATATTTGAATAAAATATTAATTTTTTTGTAAAAGAATGGTTTTAAATCGAGAAAATTTCGACCGAGCAGTCCATTGGCCAACGACGGATGTAGCGTTTGTTACATAGCCCAAGTCTTGTTTGTGTCGTCCTATACCATCCACGATAGTCTTCAGCGGTTTAGGGCCACATGAAGTCTCGATCGTGGAGAAGGTAGTGGTCGACGATGTACGACGTCTAGAGACCATCATTTTATAGCTCTTAACGTACTAAACATCATTTCCTTGAAAGGTAGTCGACTCAATGTAGTGGTGTAAAGCACGAGCTCTAAAACAGTCAGGTTTCATGAGAATAGCTCTAGTCCATAGACATGCCGCATCAGGCTATCTAGTCCTCATGTGGCACCGAGTAGAAAGGCCACTATTCACAATGAGCATCTCGCTTGGTGACTTGAACAATGACGGCAACGACTATTCTTTCACAGATTGGTGCCGGCTTGGGTTGAGGCAATCAGATGACCCGGTCTGAGTGTTGAGAATAAGTGGAAAACGCTTTTTTTTCATCTGGCATGCTTGGGTTTCTTCTTGAGTTCAAAGACAGGCAGTTATGGTATGCGGCCGACTCAACACCATGCCAGTACGGAACTGATTATCGTACAGAATGGACTGCACTGAGGTACATAGATGGAGTACTTCTGGAAGCTATGTATTTGTTTCATAGATTTATTATTCTTATAACTGGATAATATTCTATGTCACATGGCTGTTATATTAGCTCTATTTGTTTATATAAATCAAATAAATATTGAATGCAAAACTGGTGATTTTCGCATGTTCTCTTAGATTAAAAATTGACTTAAACTTATTTGACTTAAATATATTAATATTATAGCTGAAATAAAGTTTTGATTTTATCACTTTAATGTTGGAATTCCTAGCTGGTAGTGTTGAAACGCAAAAATTGTATTTCCCTATGTCGTATAAGATAACTTGATTAAAATAACAAATATTTAATTACAGTTGGAAGGGATCGTCAAGCAAAACAAAAATCATTGGAAGGAGTTATTTTTGGAGAACTATAAGCAAAAGAATTATATTTTAAAATGGTTTTCGGTAAGAGTATATTAAGAAAATATATTTTCTGTTTCGTTTAAAACAGTAATTTGCATCACTCAAGCCGTCACAACCATTTTTCTCTAAAAAATAATTTTACATGGTAAAAATGTAAATCTCTCAAAAGAAATGAGTTTCTCTTGATTTTATTCAGTTGATGGTTTTATTCATTTTTTTAACATCAAGTTTTGCAACTTTTGCCATTTCGCGCTAACAAAGGCGTCTGCTCCAGGGATATTAACGTGAAGACGAATCGGCCGTAAATTTACGGTTCAACCATGTCTTCTAATTTGGAATAACGTCGTCTGGCTGGATCGGTAAGTCACGTCGGCAATTAGACATCGCTTGTTCCCAGGAGGTGAAACCACCCACGTCGCTTCTCTTTGACCAATTATCCAACACGTGTTAAATGATTTGAGTTTAATGATTCGGCGAACTACAAGCTCGCGTCGGGTTGTTGTATCGATCCTCATTTCTGATTTACCTTTTCTGTTCCCAGGGCTTTGGAGTACGCACTCAACGTCGATAACATGAACTTGTCGGCGATAAGGACAATAAGGGTCTTACGACCTTTAAGAGCGATCAACAGGATACCGAGTAAGTACCAGTGGGCCATTTTCACCCAGCTGAATGATACAAAATTTATCCCTCAAGACTATCTTCATCAAATATAAGTACATCTAGTTAAGCCAACTGAAACACATTAACTTATATCAAAAACAATAATGGCTGCATAACTACGATAATTTATGCTGTTTTGCTGTATATTTTATAATTTTATTATCCGTGTTATAGGTTATTGAACGATATATTGCAGCAAGGCATTTTATTTATTAACAGAACGTTTTTGACATCATGACTTGAGTCGTCTTCAGTGTTAATTACATTGGTATATTTTTTACTTCAGTTGAATTTTTTATATCGCAGTTGTATAAATTGGCTATACTGTTAAATTGGCTTTATTAATATCTTTGATGTGTAAGAGAAGGAGAGTTTTCGACACGTAATCAGCAAAATTAACTCTCCTTTGTATTACACATCAAAGATGTTATTAAAGCCATTAAGCATCATAAGCAATTTTTATAACTACGCTATAAAAAATTCAACAGACCTAAATAATTTCTTCAAAGAAACAAGATATTGGAAACTAGACAGCGATCAAACTCATTTTCTTTTTATTGATATCGATTTCGGGGACATCAGCCTCTCCTCATCAGTCTATATAATAAAAAAACACTTTGAATATTTTGTGCAAACTTTATTGTACAAATTTATATTACATTAATTTTATTTTATTTTTTTTTAATTTATTTTGTTTTAATTTTTTTTTTAATTTTTTTTTTTAACTGGGGCTTCCGACATCTAGGTCATTTCAGCCTCCAACTAAGTCTATATTCTATTTACTCTACTTACAAACACTACATTCATACAAATAAATACATTCATACACATAAATACATCCATAAAATACACTCATTCCGTTTGGTCGGTGGAGTACTTGATATTCCTCCACCGACCTATACTCAAACTAATCTAGAATGGGATCGATGGGGTACTTTTATAAATATTCCGCCTTCGACCCCGAACACACACTCATACGCTCTCAACGTTCGAGGAGCTATGATGACGTCATTAATTTTATTAAAAGCTTTTAAATTATTATAAAGAGAAAAAAAAACCGAGATACCTACCTCGTTTTCGTTTTGGAAACGCATAACGTTATTAGTTTTTACCTTTCACACTGTTATCTTTATTGCACTGACCTATGACGTATTGATTTTATCCATTGGTGTACTGTTAATATACAGTTATACTTTATTATATTATTATTTTATTTATTATATTATTTTATTACTTTATTATATACAGTTATATATATATTTTGTATAAAGTATTCACATTGTTTTTTATTTGTTTTATGAGGAGAGGCTGATGCCCCCGAAATCGATATCAATAAAAAGAATATGGGGTTGTCTAGTTCCTGAAAAGAAACCCAAAAATATAAAAAGTCAACAACCGTAAAAGAAGAGTAAAAAAAGATATTGGGAGGATTATGTGTTGATAAATTTGGTTATAATATCGATACCTATAATAGAAATGATAAACAAATGAAAAAATGGAATATATTAAAAGAAAACACTGATAGAAATAAAGGGAAATTTCTATAAAATTAAATTATGTGCAGCCAATTCATATTTTATATTGAATAATAAAATATACAAATAAATAGTAGGACTTATGGATGTTATCACAATATTATATTCAATTTTTGATTGAATCAATAAACAAAATTTTAAAATATACAAATTTAAGAATTTTTAAAACAAAATGTTGACAATGCAATAGTTTATGAACATAAGGATGATACAGAAAATGTTTTACAAGAATTTAACGAGCCACATAATGTGTGTGTGTGTGTGTGTGTGTGTGTGTGTGTGTATGAGTGAGCGGTGCGTGGGACCGATAAATAAATAGAGGTAAAATTGTTCAAGAAATAATTATTATAAGTATAATCACATTTGTTCGCGCCAAATATCTAGAATTGTAATTGCTTATTTTTAGGCTTAAATTACGCTAATCTAATATCCTCACCTAGGTAATCCTATCTTAGCTCCCATCCGACTATCCTTCTTGGTCTTGTCTAGTCGTGCGTTTAGGCCTGTTTGCTACTTGAGAGAGAAAGAGAGAGAGTGAGATAGAGGGGGGAAAGAGAGAGAGAGAGAGAGAGAGAGAGAGAGAGAGGAGAGGAGAGAGAGGGTGATAGAGAGGGGGGAAAGAGAGAGAGAGAGAGAAAATTGACTCCACCTAGAAAACTAGGGAGTTCACGTAAAGGTACCTTTACATTCTTCCTGGCCTTATTGAATAAACATTTTTATTGGACGTCGGATGTTGTCATCGGAGATTTCTTTATCATTCGGGAACAACTGGATGGGAACAATTGTGAAATATTTTATAGCCGACAATTTTTATTGGATATTATGTAAATCGTTCTTTTAGGATAATAAATAACGATGAACGGAAAATAAAAATACCGTCATTTTCTTTCATCCGGCCAGAAGTAAAAATATACTAAAAGGAATAGATGATAAATATTTAAGCATTATTTTCTTTTGAGGAATATTTCAATTCTCCTTCCATAGTAATGAATTATACATACTGGAAAAACTTTTATGTTTGTTTAGTAGGCCAAATGTAAAATATAAATTTTATAGGAATGTTTATTTCAACTTTAACGTCGCTGAAACTATTTTATGACCTCATAAACGTATTTTCTTGTTTTGGTGATTTTATAGGGATTCGTTTTTTAATATTAGTTGATGTTTTATCCTTTAATCATTAATGAACCATGATGATTTAAACGCAACGCGAATTAAGATAAAGCGACGCTGTGAGATCCCCCGTATTTACCGGATGATTATTTACGTGGAAACAAATATTAGAAAAGAAAACTCCTGTTGTAAGTTACACCCGGTGTGTCATTCGAAGTTTATACTGTAGTTAGTAGTTACACGTCTTATAAAATTTATCAGAATTTTATATAATGTATAGAGAAATGAAACGTGTTTATCCTGTTTACAAAATTTTAAACCAGTTTACATGAGATTCATCGATATTAACATTGATATAACTGTATATCAGAAATGTAAAAAAGATGTAAGTCGGTCTGGCCGAGTTTAAAACCTTTCGTTCTTCTAAATCCCGGATTCCGTACACGTAAAGCCCCTTAGAAACATCGACGAGATTTAACACACAAAGCAATCCAATTGAATAGAAAGATGGTTTAAAGCAGCAAAAAAGCAATATACTTGTTTCGGTTTTATTAACTGTTGTGTCCGAAGAAATTCTTATCTGTAGAAGATAAGAATTCTACAATATAATATAGAATAGGATTTCTATTGTATAGAAATGATGCAGGTGTGGGTGAGCAGATGCACTTTTTGTAAATGATGGTTCAACTCACGTATTTGTTGTTTACAACGATCCGGATTTCGAGCATTCATCAGCTCATCATCAGGTTGAAAGAGTGACACGAATTGTAACACCTCTCTCCACACGAATGGTAAGAGTGAACCCGCCGATCCACCGCCAATGCGACGTTCCAATGAGGAGCTGGTTTTATTGCCGCTTAATTCTGAACGTGCAAAAAAGTGAATTACAACACAAGATGTACATATTGTACAAAGAGTACTAAGATTCAAGACCAATACAAAACCAGTGTTCTACAAAAAAATTTCGTGGTGCCATCCTGCATACCATTTTAACTGCTGACTGGTCTGTACATTCCAAATCATCAACATCTATGCGTATGAAACCTTTTAACTTGATTTATGACCTGAGTTATCTCTCCAAAAAACCTCCACCATCCAAAACACTTTGGGTTTTTCACTGGTATAAAAAGTCAAGAACAAGTCTTTATCAAAAAATCTGTAATCAGTGTACGTTTACGTTAAACAAAATCCTAACCCTTCACTACACATCAACAACGTTATATACTTTGACAGATGACTGACATGGAATCCTTACACTAGAGACAACAAAAGTTACTTCAGCAAGAACTTAAACTTTTAGGACTGAAATTTTGACCGTTAAAGCACAACTAAATTTATTCAATGCATTACTCCGACTACTTTGCACATACGCAGGAAACTGTCTTTCCGCGACGACATTCAATATTCAGCTTACTCAATCCTTCCAAGCTATGCTTTTGTCAACAAACTTTTTACAAACTGTTTCCAGTTCCAAAAGTTCCACCCAACAAACTTCTTCATCCATTCTAATATTACCGGAAGAAATCACTACTTTATTGAGAATCCGCTTAAACATTAATGACGATGCCCTGAGAAACTATAACGGTTACGTTGTAACGTTTGCATACACTCAAAGACAAAAAAACTAGGACACTAGTATTTTGTTGCTCATGTATGTATCGTTATATTGATTACAATGTGCTTATTTTAATGTAAACCTAATTAAAGTATATTAGAAAATCATGAATTGTAATAAAAATTATTGAATTATAACGGTTTGATAGAATCCAGAGCTGCGATGTCTAACCTGGAGATTTATCATGTCCTATAAGTGTTCTACAAGATCCATGTCAGGGGAACGTGGTAATCCCTACCCCCAATTGGTGGCAACTAGAGCAACATGCGGTCAAGTATTATCATACGTTAACGTGAAGCGTTCCTTCAAAATTGGAACGCAGCTCCCAGAGGCCCGAGGCATGGACGTTGATTCCACTCCATACCATAACCGACTGTCTTTGAAAAGTCTCTGACTCAACCATGGCACATGAAGTAAATCGTCGCCACATATAGTCCTGGTGATCTGATTGCCACAACCAAACCGGCATTCATCTGTTAAGAGAAAAGCTCTCCATTGTTCAAGCGTCCAAGCGTACTGATAACGGACTTCTAGAGATTAATTTATTCTCACGAAGCCTTCTGATGGCTATTTTTCAGCTCAACTTACAATAGGGTCTGGAATTGACTATCTATGAAGTAAGCCTTTAAAGGATGGAAAAGTGGCAAAAGGAATAGATCGATCATCTTTAGCGGTCGACTACCACCTTCTCGTCCATCAAGACTTTCGGTGGA